TATTAAAATCCTCAATCACTCTGAAACCAATACCTCCTCCTTTGGGTTTACATAACTTGTTCCATGCCATCCAATGTATTCTCTGTGTTTGTCCATTAGTGATCCACCAAAATTTTACCACTGTACTAGTTATCTTGGTAGTTAGCGCTTTAGGTACTCTAAAGCATGACATAGCATATGTAGGAACTGCAGTAGCGACTGACTTAATAAAAAATTCCTCGCTCCCTTTCGATAGCAGTCTGGATGTCCAGCTATTAACCTATTTTTGTTGCCGCTCCAGGAGGAAATTGAAAATTTTCGTCTTGCCCCCCCCCCCCCCCCCCCCCCCCCCCCCCCCCATACTTTCCGGTATCTCCAGATATGAACCCATACCCCCAACATTTGTGATGCCTAGGGTTCTATGGATTACTGTTCTGACATCTGGATCCACTTTATGCCCGAATTGAACTGATGATTTTTCATAATTAATCTGTTATCCTGAAATTGATTCATACTGTTTTAGTATGTTTAATAAATTAAGAGATTCTACCGTATTTGCCTTACATGAGAAAAGACTATCATCAGCAAAAAGCATATGGGAAACTGATGGGCTTGCCCGAGCAACCCTAAGCCCCATGATTAAACCTTCTCTCTCTGCCTTTTTAAGGTTCGAAATCAGAACCTTCGTACATAATATACAGAGGTATAGAGATAGAGGATCTCCTTGTCTGAGGCCCCGTTTGGGTTTTACCTGACCCCGTGGATGACCATTAATAATAACTTTGTATTAGACAGACTGAATGCACCACATTAACCAAGTAATTCATTTTTCCGCGAATCCCATTTTTCTAAGAAAATGTTCAATGAATGACCATTCGAGCCTATCATAGGCTTTACTCATGTCTGTCTTAACTACCATAAAATCTTTACTGCATGAATTGTTTGTCCGCATGCCATGAAACATTTCTTAGGCTACCAGAATCATATCTGAGATAAGTCGTCCCGACACAAAGGCTGACTGAATCTCCGAGATTAGCCTAGGTTGTAATCTTTTAGGCGTTGACATAAGACCTTAGAGATAATTTTGTATCCCACATTGCAGAAGCTAATAGGCCTCAATTCTGTCATCTTTGTAGGCCTATCCATTTTTGGTTTTAGATTGATGTTCGTTGCGTTTAAACAATTATCAAAAAAAACCCTTGAGAAGAAAATCGTTGACCAGTAACACCACGTCTCACTCTATAATCTCCCAAGATCTTTGAAAGAAAAAGGCAGTCATATCATCAGGCCTGGGTGCCTTTCTTGGGTGCATCATAAATAGCGCTTTCCTGATGTCCTCCTATGTTGCCGGTTTAACAAGTTCCATATTATCTCCTTCTGTTATTACCGGTGGTATTTCACGAAAATATCGTCAAAGTCCATTGGAGAACTTATCGTGAATAAGTCATCAAAATACTCTACCGCAACCTTTTCTACTTTTGTTTCTCCTTCCACACAGGCACCTTGTTTGTCATGCAGACCCACAAGCCTATTCATTGTTTGCCTTTGTTTTGTAGTAGCATGATAAAACTTTGTATTTAGATCCCCACACCTGTTCCACATATTCCGACTCTTCTGTTCCCAATAGAGTTCCTTATCCCGATACGCGGTTTTGAGTTTAAGTCTGATGTTGTTTAGCGCGTCTTGTGTTTTGTTATTATCATTTTGTATTATCTCAAGAGTTTTTTTGTAAATTCCCTATTTTATCCCTTCTATAAGGTTGGTTGATCTTCCTCCATTTCGAAATCTCATGACGACACTTACTTATTTTACCCACTATATATCTTCCCTCGTCTGCTTGATCAGAGTACCATTCTTGTATTATAGCCTCTATTAATCCATCTTGACCAATCCACTGTTTGTCAAATCGAAAACTGTCTCCGACATTTGATTTTTTTTTTTACGTCCATTGTAGCCACAATAGGACAATGATCTGATCCAATCATTTTCAAATATTGGATGTAAGATAATGGGAATAAGTCGTGCCAGCCCTCCGTTGCAAGACCTCTATCTAGTCTGCATCTAAGATTTTGTCCATTTCTCCTCCCTTTCCAAGACAATATGTTTCCCCGGTTCGGGAAATCAATTAATCCACAATCAGCGATCATGGTGTTAAAACTGTTAAAGGATGACGCTTGTCTAAGAATTCCTCCTTGTTTTTCATGGTTACCCGTTAATTCATTAAAATCTCCAATTAAAAACTACGGCTCTGTCCTTGTTAAACTTATTCTAGTCAACCGTTTCCAGACTTGGTCACGTAGTTTTATAACCTGATCCCCATATACAAATGACATATATATCTTAGTCCCTTCAAATTTAGCCTCAATATCCAATATTCTCTTATTAGCAAATAATAATTGAATATCAAATATTTTATTACAAAATAAAGCAAATCCACCACTTGCCCATACGGATCAACCGTAAACAACAAATCAAGCCCAAAATGAAATTTAAATTGTTCTACAAATTCAGAACATTGTTTAGTTTCAGAAAGAAAAAGAAAGTTTGGTCTAAACTTTCTCCAGATCTCCTTGAGATAACTTATTGTATACCTGTTACCCAGACTTTGGCAATTCCAGCTTAATACACATATTAAGTAAGACTTTTAGGATCCACTCCCTCGACCATCCTTCAGTCTTCCGTGAACCAGCCATACCTCTCTTGGCCACCCTTTTTATCTCCCGGGTTATCTCTTTCTTCCTTGGTGTAGTGATCTTTAATAGCTTCTTCGAGCCGCCTCCCACAGCAAAGTTTCCTGTAAATAACTTTTTCTTTGCTCCAGCTTTAGGAGAAATCTTAACAAGCCCATTAGTAAGCCCATTAGTGTCCCCTGAAATCGTCAGGACCTCAGTATCGTGCCCATGATCCACCACCGCCGTTTCTGTATCTAGAATAAGCGCCTCCGTCTTTGAATCAGCCACCTTCGTTATTGTGTCCCTCGTCTCCATTTCCATATCCTCCTTAACCATTGGTACACTCTCTTCCTCTACAATATCGTGAACAGGCTCCATAAAATCCGAGAAAGAATCAAACTCCTCAAGACCCTTACTAACGTGTGTCTCGGCATCTTCCAAATTTATCTCTACCGAGTCCGCCATGGCCACACGATCAATCATATCCTCCAAGTTATCCATCTCGGGCACCACCGTATCAAAATTCAGCCCCTTAGGAATCTTCTTGGCGGAGTGTTGAACTGGACTTATTGGGTTAGTCTCTGTTGCCTCCTCCCTCATATGATCCATATCCATGTTTATTGAGCTCGCTTGGTTCATCATCTTGTGACCCTCATAGCCTCTAGAAATGCCCTTGGACGAACCACCAATCCAGTATCTCCCAGCCTTGCTGATAACCTGGAAGCTCCCATCTTATCGCCATTCATCTTGTCATCCTGAAAAGCAGTCCTACTATCCTCTTTCTCTATAACCTTCCCCTTCCCTTTCTGTGAATGCTCTTCTTCGACTCCTGATGAGGGCAGGATGAATCCCCTTTGCCATTTAAAGCACCTTTATAACCTGCGGCTCCACCATCATATCTATCATCTGTATGCCTAACTTCTGTCGTCCTTTCTCTCGTACTAGAGAAGGACGAGCGTCTCAACTCCTCCCTGAAATTCCACTGTCGTAACAAAGATAAGAGGTGAAATGCATTAATTGCCAATTGTACTCTGTCTCTATCGAAATCTGTCATGTACAACACCAATGATTTCACCAATTGCTACTTAATTATAACTATATATATAATTTATGTTTTGTAGTTCAAATTTGTTTAGAGTATTTTTTATCGAACCTAATTCTTCAAAAACCAAATTAATAAAAATAATTTATTTTGTAAGAGTTGTTATCGTATTGTTTTCAAAAATTTATTTTTTTATTATAGTACATAATTTTTTTTTATTAATCTTTTCATAACTCGAAATAAAATTATTTTGATGTTACTAATTTATTATAAAAAAACTAATACTTATTAAATTAACAAAAATTTATTTTATTTGTTGGATCTATTTTATATTATATTTATTCTAAAGAAAGTTGTGTAAAAAAAATAAATTATGAAGAGATCTGGAATCATTTGATAAGGGCTATTAAGGATTTATGAACGTTTATAGAGTTTTATTTGATTTTTGTTTATCAAATAATTTACGGGGCTTCGGTAATCTCTGTCCGCACTAATTTATTGTTTCTAATTGACGTAGATTTTGTAGTATTAAATAGCAGTTTATGGGGATGCGAAGACGACTGGTTTTTTAAATGAAGATCTATTACGCCAATGGTATCTGTGTAGATTTTTTTTTTTTTTTGGGCCAATCTGTGTAGATCTTTTCACTATCTCTTTCTCTAACTCAATGGTTAGAAAATTTCTTGAACAAATACACTTGTAAGAGTAGTTACGTTTGGATGCTGCATGTAACGCACTAAAACAATAGTTGTTGTCTTGTTGATCTTCAATGTGCGGTCTAGAATTAGTTTTCTGATCATAATAATGAATTAGCATGCACAATAATATATGTTTGACACGTCCAGTCTAATTTCATATGTAGATCATATAATAAATCAGTTATAAATTAACTTTAATTTTTTTCCAACACCATTAATATAAGACCAGGTTACCAAAAACAGAAATCGATCCGACTCCATTTTTAACATCCCTAAAAGTTGTTTATGTTTCATACTTTCAAGTAATATTAGTATGAGAAATCTATCTACTTACATTTATGGGTAATCTTGTTATGAACCAGGTGGAGATCAAAGGGACCATAGTGTCACAACAGGACCAACACAAAATGGTTATAACCTCTAATGTCTTTTGCTATTGTGGCTTCCACACATATCTCCCACTTTCTCTCTCTTACACATAGACATACACAAAACATGCATGTCTTTATAAATATATACACCTCACCCTTCAATTTTCACCCAACTCTCTCTCTCTCTATTTCCAAACACAACCAAAAGCTTTTCTCTCAAAACCACCCCAAAAACAAAATGGCTATCCTCAAGAAATCTACAAAACTAGCTCAAACAGCAATGCTCAAGCAGATTCTGAGGAGATGTTCCAGCTTGGGGAAGAAGAATGGAGGAGGATATGAACAAGTTGATGATCTTCCACTTGATGTTCCAAAGGGACACTTCCCTGTCTACGTAGGACACAACAGGAGCAGATACGTAGTCCCTATCTCTTTCTTGACCAATCTTGACTTCCAATGTCTCCTTAGAAGAGCTGAGGAAGAGTTTGGTTTTGATCACGACATGGGTCTTACCATTCCTTGTGACGAACTCTTCTTTCAAGATCTGACTTCCATGATCCGATGAGATCTCAATAATATCAACAACCGGAAGAAAAATAAGACAACGAAGAAGAAGTAAGCTAAAGGAGATGGAGATGGAGATGGTTAAAGATGAAGTTTTTTTTTATATAAATTTTGTAGCTTCTCTTTTTTTTTTAAATCATCCTCTCTCTTTCCTTTAGTTTGATGAATCTTCGATGTTTTTTCTTATATCTTCTCTGTTTTATTTTTGTGTCCTATTTTGAAAGCTCATCTTGAGTCTTTTGTACGGGTTAATATTCGACTCGTACGTCTAACAAAAATAAACCCACGCGATGGAAGTTTTGGGGTTTAGATCTGTAATATTTTCCTCACGGACATTTGATTTGTTATTAAATCTGTGAGAGAGGTTAATTATTGGTTTGTTATGTATAAAAAAACAGTACATCTAAAACCAATAAAAGCTAATAATAAATTTATTGGATTTTAATCTCATATGCCCTCCCGTACAACCAAGAAAATTTAATTGCCTCCTCTAATCTTACTACCCATTTCTGCAATGAATTGACTGTTTACTCCTTAATGAATAAACAAAAACAAATAAAATAAAAATAAAAAAGAATTTCGGGTGGTTTGGTAAGAAATTTAATTCAAACCAACCTAAAATTAATTGTTTAAACCAACCAAATCAACCACCAAAATTTTTGCACCTCTCGTGGTTCCCTCGTCGTCTTCTTCCTCTCATGTTTCCACCATTGACAAAATCAGATGCGTAAAATTGAAGGTTAGTTGTTGCTGTTTCTTAGACTATTTTCGATTTTTTGATTGAATTATCAAATTTATGTCATATGCAGAGCAAATAATACATAATTTCTTCTCAATTAGAGAACTTCATAGTAAAGAAATTTTTTTTTTTTTTTTTGCTCATTAGAGCTGCTGAGCTAGTTGGGTAAGACTATTAGAAACTGATATTGTTAATTAAATATGATATCTTGGTTAACTGAGCAATGAATCGTAAAAACTAGTGATGATTCGTATGATGAACCAAACTTTCTGGGTACTACTGGGTACAACTAGCATAACTGGACATATCAGTACGAGTAGGATCAACCAAACTTTTTGGGTACAACTAGCATAACTGGACATATTAAGTGAATTTAGTACGACTAGGATTAACCAAACTTTCTAGGTACTACTGGGTACAACTAGCACAACTGGACATATTAAGTGAATTAGTACGACTAGGATGAACCAAACTTTCTTGGTACTACTGGTACAACTAGCGTAACTAGACATCTTAAGTACGACTAGTAAAACTGGTACAACTATGATAAGATTACCTTACGATTGTTTTGTTCTTTTCAGGAGAAATGAGTAGCAGTGGTTGCACAGTCATATGTTTTGATTAGGGGGGGTTCTATTCAAAAGATAGTGATAAAGTTATTTGGAATTCTGTAGAAGATGAGATTCATACTTTAGTGATGAGGAAATCTTTGGAGGATGTCACTTATCTTGGATTAGTGAAGGGAATTTGCAGAAAGGTTTTGATAGATGCAGCTACATCTCAGCTGAAAATTAGTTACTATCCAATGGTCTTGAACACGAAGAAACCATCATATATTTGGAATGACGAAAATGTTTTTGGTTATCTACTACAAATGAGTAAGGATCAATGTAGAAGTGTTCTACATGTGGAGTTCATCAAAGATGTTGATCAAAGTCATGGAAGCTTGCATGTTTCAAGAGAGGATCATGGAGTTGACGTTGATGTAGGTCCAAGTAATGATGAGATGTTTTCTACCGCTAGAGATGGTTTAAAAATACCGGAAAGTGAAATGCAAGACAATGAAATGCCAGACAATGAGATGCAAGAAAATGATACAGATCCTCTACAAAGATATGAGCTCGTGTATGATGATGATACAGAAGTCAGACATTCTGATGGAAACTCGCAAGTAAGTCATGGATGGGAAGATGGTTTAGATATATATAAAAGTCAAGAATTTGACACTAGGCAGGGACTGCAAGCTCTCCTGCAGAAAGGTGCACATGAGAATGGTTTTGAGTATGAAACGAAAAAGTCTGATCCCACACGTTTCGTGGTAAAATGTTGGGGAGCAAAAGAGGGATGCAAGTGGGGTTTAAGAGCTTCTGTGCGTATGAACTCAAATAGTTTCACTATTGTCACTTACAACAAGGTGCACACATGCTCTCGGGTTACTACAAGTACAATCAGACAAAAAAGGAAAGGCACACCACACTTAGTTGCAACTGTTTTGGCTGAAGACTATCCAGGTCGATTCGACACACCAGATCCAAAAACGCTGATCAATATGGTTCAAGGCAGGCTTGGCGTGAAAGTATCATACTCGACACCGCTGAGAGGAAAAAACAAAGCTGCTAATGAGATGCGGGGAAGTTCTGAGGAGAGTTATCGGTGGCTATATTCTTATTTGTACATGCTAGAGAAAGTGAATCCTGGTACACAGACTTGTGTGGAATTAGATGAGCAGAAAAGGTTTAAATACCTATTCTTTGCATTGGGAGCTTGCATAGAAGGGTTTCTATCGATGAGGAAAGTCATCATTATAGATGGAACCCACCTGAAGAACGTATATGGTGGAGTTCTAATCGTCGCTTCAGCTCAGGATCCTGATTATCATCATTATCCCATTGCTTTTGGTGTAGTTGATGGTGAGAAAGATGCAAGTTGGACGTGGTTTCTGAATCAGTTGAAGTCAGTAACACCAGATGTCCCTGGAATGGTGTTTATTTCGGATAGGAATCCAAGCTTGATCAAGTCAATAAGGGAAGTGTTCCCTCTGTCTCAACACGGGTATTGTGTAAGGCATTTGTCACAGAATGTGAAAGGACACGTTGCCACCCACAGAGATGCATGTGCGAAGAAGTTCATCGAGTGCGCTAAAGCTTATACAGAGGTTGAGTTCGGAAAACTCTATAGTGCTTTTAGGATGAAATATCCATCTGCTGCCGAGTATCTAGACAAAAGTGTTGATGAGAAAAAATAGGCAAAATGCTATTTTCCAGGAGAAAGGTACAACATAGATACCACCAATAGTGTAGAATCTATCAATGGTGTTTTTGTAAACGCAAGAAAGTACTCGTTGTTGCCAATGATTGATGTAATTGTTGCCAAATTGGCTGAATGGTGGAACACCCATAGGCAGAGTGCCGTTGAAGTCCCACTGTCACAGAAGCTTGTGCCTTCCGTAGAGAACGAAATGGATCTGAGATGTGTGGATGCAAAGAAACTCATGGTGCAAGAGTTAAACAGCTATCTCCATGAATACAATGTGATTGGGCTTGATGGGAAGAATTATTTGGTTGATATGACTTGGAAAACTTGTTCTTGCAAGTATTTTGATATAGATAGATACCCATGTGTGCATGCAATTGCTGCTACCATCCATATGAGCAGAGATAGGGAACTTCATCTACAAGAGTTTTGCTCTAAATATTATTTGGTAGAGCTATGGGCATTGACATACTCCAAGACAATCTATACAGTTCCTCATATGTCTGAATGGGTTGTACCTGAAGAGATACAAGCACAAGAAGTCTTACCTCCAGAATATGAAGTAAAGAAAGGAAAACCGCAACATAAAAGATTCCCATCAGCTGGAGAACATCGTGGAAGAAGAGGTAGAGGAAGAGGGAGAGGTGGACGCTGGGCTCAATGGTTTGGGATTGATGGAAGTGAAGAGTAATTTATGTCTTTGTTTTAAATTATTTGAACTATGTGTGCAACTTTGTATGACCGAGACTTGTATCCATGTTATTTCTATCAGGTATGACTAGGCACCACTAGTACAACTCTATATTCCGCGTCTAATATGTCTGGTACGACTGGTGCGACTAGTACCACTCGTTTCAAGTACAACTAGTTCAACTACATTTTAGTTGTACTAAAGTCCAACTGGGAAGACTGGTACGACTATGCTTTCTACAAAAATGTCAATAACACAATTTGTAAATGTATTTGTAAACATTTTTCCATATAAAATAGGCCATAGAACATTTGCAAACATATTTGAACATTTCATAGTTAAATAAATTTGATCCACGATCCATGAAAATGTGTTCTCTACACAATCTACCTTATACTTTTAAGGTAACTTTGTAAATCTTAACCACACAAACATGAAAACCATGAAAGTTTATATTTTTTATACTAGTTATAGTATTAGAATATTAGTTTATTTACAAAATTTTACAAGTACAGCTAAAAATATTTAATTTAGGTATGATACTACTGATTACAAAATTTTACAATTTTATGTCTTTAGGATACAACTCAAAACTGGGGTACAACTATGTTATAAAAAAACTGAGTTCAATTTTTTTTTTGACGGCGCAAACTTGCAAAGATATTCATTTCCTCTTTTGACGGCGCACGTGACTTCATATTTTATCCATTTTTAACTTCATTTTAAACATGTTTTTTTTGCATGCACACATTTTTTTTTGCTGCCACACGTTTTTAAAATTCAGATCTAGTTGGTCTAGTTCTGCTAGTCGTACCTTTTAATTCAACACATAAAAAAAGACTTGCATAAAATATATATGTCCAAATCCTGAAAAACACAAAGACAAATTCTAACATAGCAGATAATGACACAACATAAGTTCAAAGGCCTAAGTTACTTAATAACAATTCTTCACCAAACGTGAACGAGTAACCTTTCTTTTTCGCTTGGGAGTCTTACTCCTCTTAATTAATTTCTTTGCTGCTTGGGCTTGAAGACTAGGTCGTTTCTTGATTTTCACCTTCCTAGGAGTTTGGACTGTATCGGCATCGTCTCCACCTAACAAAAACAAACAAAAATCGATGAAACTCCTTATATCAAAAATAAATCTCCAATGGTTTGGCTCATTAAGGAAGATAAATCTCCACTTACCAGCTAGAGCCTTTTCCATAGCCTTATCCACAGCCGCTAACACTATCTCCGCAGCTGCACTAGCCTCAGCCGCCACAGTCTCCACGGTCTTCGCAGCCTCCATCATCTCCGCCGCAGCCTCAACCTC